CCTGACCCCAGGCCCAGGCACACTGCTTTCTCTGTCATCCGTACCTTCCCTCCCCTCCACACATGCAGGATAGGCTTGGCTCTGGGGCAGGTGGCCATTCTGCCACTGGGGCTGGGCCTGCCCAGCAGTCACTAAGGTCTGGAGACTTCCTGCATTTGGGAAACATGAAAAAGGGCCCAGCAGCCCTTCTGCATCCAGCACAGCCTCCCCAACCCACCTCTGCCCCGGGCACTGCACCCCTGTTTGGGGGCCAGCCTGCCCCATTGCCCACCCGTCATCCATGAATCCTTGGCCTCCACCAAGCACGGTGGCCATTGTGTGCCTGCCTTAGTGACTCAGTGGTTTTGTGAGGAGCAGAGTGTATATGATTTTTGGCTCAGAAACTATATTCTTCAGTGTAACAGACCAATAAACACAGCATTTGGCAATGCTTGAGGCTCTGGGGGCTGCTTGTGGGCTGACACTGGACAGTGAGTGACTGTGTGTTGGGGAATTCTGTGAGCTCCACAATCGAATGGTAAAGGGGGCCAGCCCCACAAGGCAAGGATGGTGAAGAGAGAGAACCAAAGTTTCCAGGAGAGAGGGACTTTGGCTGTAGGCTGGTCAGGGGTGGGGGTGATAGCCAGACCCCAAGTACTCAGAGGGAGCCCTTGGGGGGACCTCACCCCAGAGCCAACGGTCCTATTTCAGACTGACCAGTAGCCTCTCCAGCCTCTGGATGGGTGTAGGTCCCTGTCCCACCCCTTCCCCCACCTGCCTGTCCTCCTGACTGCCTATAGTCATGAGCTGGAGCTTGACTGGGAATCTGCAGGACCACCACGCCCTTCCAGCCAGTGGAGAAGGACCCTGCCTCTCTGGCCTTGGCTCCTGCCCACTGAGCACTGTCTTTGAGATGCCTGCTTCAGGCTGGGGTGTTGGGGGAACATCAGGAGGGATCAGACGTGTTGAGGCAGGGAAAGGGCCTGACTAGAATAGGTTCCCACCTGCTTTTCCCCACCCCAAAAGGCCACTGCCCCATCATCCATGGCTCCAGGTAGAGGCTCCAGTCACCAGCATGTGGTCTGGTGTAGCTTTCTGGGCATTAGGGCCTGTTGTCGACTCACTCAGACCTGTCCAGGCAAGGAAACCAGTTGACCCAGGGAGCTCTGGGACCAGGGAACCTTATAAGCCCCTCAAGGGAACACCTACCCACCCCCTAGCTGATCGTGTTGCCTGGAACCATCAGAATTCCCTGTGCTATGACTCCACCTGAAAGAAGTTTACTAAAGGCCCCTGATAAACTAGCCTGGAAATGGCCTGGTTCCTTCACACACCTACCCCTTCCTTCCCTGCCCCACCCAGAAGTGCTGGCACTCCCCAGGTCCCTGGCTAGGCTTCTAAGACCAGAGGGAATCCCACAGCCACAATGATGGGTCTGCCAAGGACAATGTGTGTGTGGAGAGCAGGAGCCGGAAGTGCAAGTAGGGCACTATGAACACCATTTTCAGGGAACCCTCCAACCCTGGAAGTGAGTCTTTCTCTCTTACAGAGCAGGAACTGGTAAATGGGAGCACTGGATTCCTACTTGGGATTTTTGTTTTCTCTTACCTTGACCACAGGCCTCTCTTTACAAGCTCCAGCTGAGCAGAGAAGGGAGTTTCTGCCTGCCCTTAAGATACAGTGATAGCCCTTAGATGATATAGTGCCTACCTACCTACGTCACTGCCAGGGGTAGTGTCTTCATCTTTGTCCCCAGTGCTGGGCACAGTGTCTGACATTGGGCACTCAGGAAATAGTAACCCTAACCCTAGGCCTTCCCTAAAGTGAAAGGGACCTGTCGCTTCCTGGAGCTACCAGCAGAGGGAGCTAGCATCTCACAAGTGAAAGGGGCTAGTGGGATTGTGGGGCAATGGGGAGGGGCACTGGATCTGGCCTTTCTGGAGGCTGGCTCTTCTTCAGAGAATGGGACCCCAAGACATTCGATCACCACTCCCGTCCCTAAGAATAACCCCTCGCATCCCCAGACCCACCCCAGGAAGAAAGGCTGAGTCCGTTCCCCTGGCTGGGGCTGGGAGAGGGGCAGGTGTCAGGGAATTAGATGAGGTGGCCTGCCTGGTCTATAGCTAGGCCCAGCTAACTCATTCTCCCTCACCTCCCCACTAACTCACTCCTGAGACAGCCTGCCAAAGGACCGGCTTCCCGTAAACTGGGGAGAGATGTAGTTATAGGGACAAAGGTATTCCAGGAGGCCCACATTTGCTGACCCAGTTTGGAACATAGCTCTTTTACCCCTGACCTCCAACCTCTTCCTCCTCTTGTTCCTCTCCCTGAAAGGACAGCCTATGGACTCCCCAGATGACCTAACTAACTACAACTCCAGAAGCACATCCCCTCTCAGGAAGCCTCTCACCCTTCTGTGCACAGATCCTCCCCTTTTCCCATTGGAACTTTCTTGAGGTCAGGATCCCTGACTCTACAACAGGCCCCAGGGCAGGGTGGCACGTGCTCAAGGAGGGGGGCGGGGGGACACGGGACTCTGCAGAGTTGAGAGATCTGACTGCAGCTCCACAAGTCCCCGGCTAGGTGTGTGACCATAACAAATCACTCAGCTACCTCAAACCTGTTTCCTTATCTGCCAGAACAGGGCTGGTTCTTATTTACTTCACTGTGCTGTTAAGAGATGAAACAAGATAGTGTTTGTAAAAATGGTTTGAGGAAGTATAAAGTATTACAAAAGTATAAGGAAGACCAGAACTGCAGTTCTCAGAGCTTCCTGAGGATTGAACATTGGGATCACAACTGGAAGGTCCCTAGTCGTTTTCTAAAATTGACCAGCACAGAAGCTACTTGAGGCCTGTTCCCCACAAACGTCAACAGGGAAAAGACACTGGAGGTGTCTTTCCCTAAAGGTCTCTGCCTCCTTTTGCAACAAAATGACCCAGATGCTGCAGGCTGGCAGCTCCATCTCAGGTTTCAGTGCAGGTTTATTTCAATTTTATATTTTATTCCAGGCAAGTGCTTATTACATGGATAGTATTCATGTCTCAATACCTAAAGTCTTGGAGCATGAACAGCCACTAGAATACAGTTCAATAGTAAAAATACAATATGTACAAAATTAGGGTTTTTGTAGTTTTTTTTTCCCCCACACAGCAGATGTATCCAAACACATAAAAATCTCTACAGTCTGGGGTCGCTATGGTTTATATTTCAGGAAACGGAGACACAGTGACCGAGTCCTCACTGTAAACAAGGGCCACCTCTTTGGGGGATGGGGGTGGGACCCTGGGATGGGGGAAGAAGCTGTTCCTGGAGACAGCAGGGGTTATGGTGACCCCGCAATTCCTCTCCAGGCATTCCCTGCCCTTCTTTGGCCCCCCAAGGAACCAACCTCCCCCTCTCCTCGAGGTAAAGACTCCCAGCCAGTGAGTCACTCTGAACATCAAAAAGTAAAACACGCATGAGAGGTAAGATGTGTGTGTGTGTATGCACGCGCATACGTGTCCCCCAGGCTGGAAGGGCTAGGGAGGGGAGGGGCAGGAGGTCCCACAGGCGAAGACAGATGTGGTCCTGACAGCTCTCGGGGGAGATGCCCAAGGAAGGGCTGGGCGGCGGCAGCTGCCCTCTCGGGCACACAGCGTCACAGCGTTCACGAACGACAACAAAACAACACCCATCGTCACCAATCTGGACATAGTCATTCGGCACTAGATTCAGAGGCCCCCACTGATGGGGGGCTGGGAGGGGCAGGGGCGGCGGGCGGATGAGGTATCTGTGCAGGCCCGAGGGACGACTGGCTGACACAACCGTTTCATCTCTGGAATGGCCTCAGGATGCAGGGAGGTGAACAGAGCTGAGAGGAGGGGCGGGTTTGCCAGTGCTTCTCTGACTGTTCCCTGGGTGCCAGGCCTGCCTGTCTCTCTGCTTTTTCTATTGGAATCACACTGGGAAGAGTGAAACTGGCTCCCCCAAGAACCAGGGTGGCGGGTGGCAGTGGCTGCAGGCGCAGGGAGGCAGCAAGCTTGGTGGGAGCTCTGCCTAGGGTGGCTACAGGCCTCCCTCCTAGAGGCCTCTGAGGCATCCATAGGCCTTCCCCTTCTCCACCCACAGGCGAGACAAATGAGAAGAAAACAGTCCCCCGGGAGGTTTCCAGCACCAGGAAGGAACTGAAAGGGAATTCTTAAGTGTCTAAATCTATTCAAGACCTTTGCCAGCCTCCCCAGTATCCCACAGGACACTCCCCCACTCCCAGCCTGTCAATGCAAACTTCACACTTAGGGACACTCGCATCCTCGTCTCACACTGAAAGGCCATTGGTGAGTGTGTTCAGGCAGGGAGCGGAGTGTGCACGTGTAACTGAGTGTGTCTGACACAAGGCCACTTATAATAAATACCTACATAAAAAGAGAAGCCAAAGCAGTCTGCCAAGACACAGGCAGGGAAAGCAGCATCCCCTACACACAGGGCCCCCACTCACTCCTCCCCATCCCAAGCTCTGCCATGAACTTGGCCCAACTAAGGACCTTTCCTCAGAGGAAGGCAGTGGCACACAGCAGCCCCCACCAAGCAGAGTACACTCAGAACAGCCCACAAGAGAAAGGGGGACGTTCAGGGGAAAGAAAGAGATAACACTCGAGACAGAAGTTGGGGCAGAAGCCGCAGCCCTCCTCTGTAATCGGGCCCTGCTCCCTCTCTACTGGTCCCCAGGGCCTGTTTGCGAAGGAGTTAGGGGCTGGATTTTAACTTCCTGATTGCCTCAACAGTGTGGCTTCAGGATCCTGGAACCCAGACCAGATGCTCCCAGGCAGCAGGAGGCACCCAGGTGCACCTGTCCCTCAGGGGAGTACACAGCCCTGAGCAGAGGGCAGGGAACCAAGGGAGTGAACACCAGACAGCACACCTCTCTGCCTTCTGGAAGCCAAGAGCCATGTCCAGGGATGGGGACAGGGGTCCAGAGCATTTCTCCTCAGTCCAGATGCAGGCTGGGGAAGAGGGGATGGGCACAGCCAAGCCCCTCCTGCCCTGCCCCCGCACTCAGCCTGCTCTCGTGAGGTCACGAGCCCAGTGGCAAAGACTGGCGGACTCAGGGAGCTTGGCAACAACTTCGGTTTTGCTTACTGTTGGCAGAGAATCGTTAACTAGTTTCTGCTGTGACGAATCACAGTGATTGCAACTGGGTTCCAGAGCCCCACGCTGGGGAACCCACCTGTCTGGGTGGGACTCCAGCCACTTCCTAAGATTTGTCACCTATACTCAGAGCAGGGCCCCCACAGTCCTCAGCTTTCTGGGCCAAATTGCTTCAGTTCTGCTTCCCTCTTTCCCCTCCAAAGGCCTGGGAAGAGAAGGCTGAGGCTCGGGAGGGGAGGGCCCAGGCGCTCAGCCACTTCACCAGACAGCAATAGCAGCAGCAGCACAGAGAGGCAGGCAGGGTAGGGGAAAGTTGGAGAACACCACATCCACATCGCACTGGTTTCAGGGACAGGTGGGGAGGCAGGGACGGCACTGGAGCTGGCACCAGGCCCACAGGCGGCACGGTCACCAGAGCATCTCTCATCACTTTATCAAGTCCTAGTGCAGTGGGGTAACCCCCTGCCCTGCGCCCAGCTACCTGGGGTGGCCCCTCCCTCCCCTGGCTCAGAGTCTCTGCACCCACTTCCCCTAGGAGGCCTGGGGGTGGGTGTGGGCAGGGCGGGCCTGGGCCTGGCTGGAATGTGTGGAGCTGGTGGGTGGGAGAGTGGGGGACAGGTCCCCCTCCCTGCCCCCACTGGGGGCCTCTGAGTGGCCTCATCCTCAAGCCAGCTTGAGTGTGCTGACCGGGAAGGAGGGCATGGTGACCATGGTCACAGGGTTGAGCACTGTCTGGCCCACCAGCTGGGGGTGGTGCACCACCTGAGCCCCCACAGCTGGCTTTGCCATGACAGTGGCTGGGGGCCCCAACCCGGCTGTGCCATTCACTTGCTGGTGCGAGAGAGTATGGGCGATGTGGCTCACTGCCACGGGCTGGCTCACTGCCACAGGCTGCGGGTACAGGGGCAGCTGGGAGCCAAGGTGGGCCACGTGGTTAAGGGTGGCAGGGTGTACTGTGATGTGGCCAATGGGGGGTGTGGCAGGTGCCAGCTGCACAGCAGGGCTGGGAGCCGAGGGGGCGATGTGGGCGATGTGCTTGCCACCCGGACCCTGTAGAACATGGTTCACAGTCTGGATGACTGAGGCGTGGGTGGTGGCTGTGTGGGCGATGACTGTAGAGCCTCCCCCAGCTGCGGCCACCAGGTGGGCCGGAGCAGGCACCAGCGTCTGGGCAGGGGCAGCTGGTGGGGGAGGAGGGGCTGGCAGAGGTGTCTTCTGCTGTGGTGGTGGCTGCTGCCCAGGGAGGTGGGCAGGAGACAGGGCCACAGGGTGGGAGTGGGAGTGTGGGTGGGGAGGCAGAGGCACGGGGGTAGTGCTGGGTGGTGGCTTCGGCAGCTCCGGGTGGGGGCGATGGCTCAGCTTAGGTGGCCCCAGGCTGGCCTGGTCCTCCTCCATATCTTCGTCTATGTTGTCCTCACCCTCTGTGGGGGGACACAGGGACAGGTGAGAAGGGCTTGGGAAACAGCAAGTTGGAGATGTAGATGTCCCTGGGGTCTAGGGATATAATAAGGCTGGGACGAGGGGCATCTTTTCCAGCAGAGAAAGGTCTGGCCAAGGCAGCTGTCATTTGAGGGGCGGGGCAACATGGAGTGGGTGGCAGGCAGGGCTCACCAGAGGCAGTAGAGGTGGACGCCTGGTCGTCCTCGGGCTGGCCCGTCTGCCGGAGCACACGGTCGATCTCCAGCACGTCCATCCACTGGCTCAGCTCGTGCTTGAGCTCCGCCAGCCGCTGCTGCGTGGCAATCTTCTCTCGGGCCAGCCGCTCCATCTCATGCTCATATTCCTTCTCCTTCCTCTTCAGGGACTGGAGAACAGGGCAAGGGACAGCAGGATACCCTGAGCAGCAGCCACAGGGCCCATGGTACCACAAACCTCCCCACAGCCACACCTGCCTCCACATCACCCGGCCCACACGGCAGGTCTGCAGTGACCAGGGGGCCCAGGCTGATGGTGGCTGTTGGAGACCACACCTGCCTCCCAGTCCTGGCTCTGCCCAGTGAGGCCCAGCATCCCGGGGAATGCAGGCTCTCAGGCAGGCGCCATTGAAAGAAAGGACAGATCCAGGTCAGCCCTTCCCCCATCCCCACATCAACTCTGTCCTGAGGGGCTTCGTCGTCTCTTGCCCCATCCACCCTCCTGGCAGCATCTCCCTCCATTCTGCAGAGAAGGAAAGAAAGGGTAACACAGACTTCTCAGGTTGTGCCCAAGGCCTCCACCGCCATTCATACCATTCTGTCACTCACTGATACCACAAGCTATGCTCCTTGGAACCTATTCCCCCAAGAACCCCAAACAATCCTGGCCTTCTCTCCACTTCATCGTTCACTAGTCTCCTTAACTTCAATATCCTTGGAGGATGACCCACTAGACTTTGTGACCGCCTGTTTCATCTCCCTGACCTGCCTCCATCTTGTCCCCAGTAGCTGCTGGCTCTGCACCTCCTCTCTGACCTCCTGGGCCCCCATGGTACCCACCTGTGTCGCCTCTCCACAGCACTCTATTTTCATACTGCCTGTAGCTCTCCAGACTCCCCAGGCTGCTGAACAATGCCCACGCCCTGGAAGGTGCCCCTCCTTTCACACCAGTACCTGAGCTGCACTCAGCAATGAGAAATGGCTCTTGGGGTGCTGGACAGCACCACTGACTCAGACCAAGCGCTCCTGGAGCAGCTTCTGTCCCTCACCACAGGTTCCAGGGTTGCTGCCACCCCCACGACACTGATGCCACCCCCTTCCTAAGAACACCACGAAAGAGCTCCCTTATCCATAGTGTCATCCCTCCCTCAACTCTTCCAGGGCCACCGGCTACCTTGCGCCACTTAGGTTGACCCCTCAAGTAGTTGCTGGATGCCCCGCCTCCCAGACTGTGGCATTGCTGCCCTATCAGAAGGGTCTCCAGTTTCTCTCTGCAGGAGGCTTATTATTAGCAGCTCCAAAGGCCGGCTCTTGTCCTATTTCTCAGCTCCCTTCCACACCAAAAGTCTCTCCCGTCCTCCATGACCTCCCAACTCTGACACTTTATTGAACCAACTCGTCTACGTCTCGAAGGCCTCCTTGTTGCCGGCTTCTCCTGGGCCCAGGCATGTCATGACCACTGGGTCCACCAGACAACATGGACAATGCTGCCCTGCTGCCTCCTGAGTCCCTTACCTGACCTGCTCCTGTGCTTCTGGCTTCCAAGGCTTGCTGGTCACAGCCAGGTGCACAGCCCACTGGCTCTTCACACACCAAACTCCCCAGCTTGTCTTAGTTTTCCTCTCCAAGCGCTGTCCGTCCAGATGCTTACACTCAGATCCCCCTTCTCACCCCTGTAGGTTTTATCTGTTCATCCTCCAAAACCACACCTGAGCCCCTACCTCCCCCACCGCCTTTCCCCACCCCATGCCCTTCTGAGCACCAGCACCACACACCTGAGCATTCAATGAGACTGTCAGATAGTACTAAATCAGGCACTGGCTCCTGTGACCCACTAAACATCTTATGTTTTGTCTTTCCGCTTCAACACACACTGTTCCTGTCCAACCCTGTGAGCGAAGGCAAGGACTGTTCATTCTATAGTTAGCCTGTATCCCCTGACCCTACCAGGCCAGGCCAGAGCCATGCACAACGTCTTCCTCAGCCCCAGGGGAAGGATCTGAGAGTTCACACCTCTATCCTGCCTCTCCCCTTCAGCACAGGAGAATCACAGTCACTCTTTAGACTTGAGTTCCCCCTACCCATTTCCTACGGGCAGTTTTCCAGCAGCCTTTCCTGACTGTTCACCTGCCCCTCCTGAGCATGCAACGTCTTCAACTCCACACACCAACTAGGACCAACTTTCCCATGCTCCCTCCTACAGCCCCAAACTCCCTGCATTTCTGACCTCACCGGTTAAGAGATGCCTCAAACCATTAATGCCTGCGACACACAGCCCAGATACAGCCACGCTCTGTACTGGCCGGAAACCTGGTAGCTTTACACTTGTCACCAGTCCCAGGCCACACACAGTCCCCCCATCATCCTGGCTTTGAGATTAACCTGCTCCTCCCCATATTTCTGCCAGAGAGATCCCTCCCCTTACGCGCACACACCTGTCTGGTTTCTCACCTGGCTCTACCCCAAGAAGCCAGTGCTGGACATGACATCAAAAGAGGTCACATCAATGATGCGGCCTGTGGTGAGGCACCCCTGACTCGAACCTGGCTGCTAGGGGCTGGAAACGGCCATCTTGAACTCTACTCCCTAGCAAGGAAGGTCGACTTCTGGCTCAAGGAGGGAGAATATCAGGGGCCAAAACCTCCTCTTCTCACCTAGCCCAGTTTTCTACAGGCCTAGAGGCCCCTGGAAAGTTTTCCCAGGGTCTAACTTGAGTCCACATTAGTTCATTTTAGACCTATTTCCTTTCTAAGACTACCTGGATGCACCGTTTCATACTTGCCTACTCCTCTTCCTGTTTCTGTCCACTTCACTGTGGCTTTCTTAACGCCTTTACTACCTCCAAGCCACTCTAGGTCTGGCTGGGGGCTCCGGCCTTCCCACAGCTCCGCGCCTTGGCACACAACCAAAGCCCTCAGTCTACACGCCCTATGTGGTCTCTCCCGTACTCCCTCCCTTTCAGCTCCCATCTAGGGTCCTGTTGCCCCCCATCTCTACATGGCAAGCCTCCTCACCATCTTTAACTTCCAAAAATGCATCCTGCTTCATCCTGCTGGAGAAACTTTGGGCTGTTTGCTGGGCTCTCTGCCCTCCACTTTGCCTTGGTCACCCTGAGACCTTCAGGTTTCAGCCTGAATGCCCCTTCCTCAGCAACAACTGCCCTACCTCCCCAGAATAGATCCTGTGTCCGGTCCCTATTACACTCACATGGCATAGTCCTTAGTCTTGTTTGTTTATAATCTGCTGCAAGACAAAACCTGAGGACAGAGACACACACTTTTTTCTTTCCTCCCCACTTTATCCTCAGAACCAGACAAAGGGTGTTCCAAAAGTACCTGAACCAATAAATGAGTGAGTGAAGTTAAAGATTTATAGAGAGCCTTTAAGTTTTCAACTGTTTCTGCTTCCACTGCCAGCCCCAGGACAAATATCTCTTACGGACAGCCAGGGTCCAGCTTGCTTCCTACTCAGCTCAGGCCCATGTCCTGACTCTACTGGTTCTACTGGGTCTCTATTTCTGATTTATTTTCAAATTCAAACGTCATGCAAGGCTCCCTCCCTAAGTATGTATCTATAAAGAGGAACATGCCATTCCATCTTTCCTACTTCCCAATAATTGCTATAAGTTAATATTTATAGAGGACCAATCCTCCTAACATCCCTATGACGAAGATACTATTCTTTTTCTCCAGTTAGCCTCATCGCAGTACATAAGAAGAAACCGATATTTGAAGAAAATGTCACAGCATTTGGACAGGCATTTGCTCCCCGGCCATATAATTGCATATGACTGAAGGACCAGTAACTTATACTCAAGCCCAAGTTCTGCAAACACATCCCAAAAATAAGCCTCCCGGGAACCCTCCCCCACCCCCTCCGGGGCCGTTCTGGCCGCGAGGCCACGCCCCGCCCGGAGCACGCGCGCACCCACGCGGACCCGGCTTTGCTGCGTCACTGCCCGCCGGCCGCACCCTCCCTCCGCGCGCGCAGGAGCCCCGCCCCCCGCCCGTCCCCGCCAATCCGCGGGCCCGGCCCCTCCCCTCCCCGGTGCCGGGAAGCGACCTGGAGAAGCGCCAGCCCCTCCCCCTCGCCGAAGGCGGGCGGAAGGGCGCGCGTTCGCGGGAGGCAGGGAGGGAGCCGCCGGCTGGGAGCAGTCGAGAGGTAGCGCCTCCGCCCCCCAGCAAGTCAGGCTCCGGTTACCTCAGGGCTGTGACCCCGCAGTCGAGGCCGGAGGAGGGCTGGCGCCTCCTCGCTGGCTCCTAGGCGGGCTTGACCCTCTTTGCCATCCCCTCCCGCCGGGGCCGTGACGCCGCCCAGCCCCCAAGCTTCCGGAGAGCCATGACCGGGAGACCCAGAGGCTCCCCCCGCCCCCGCCGGCAGGGAGCCCTAAGCGCCTCCCACTGCCCAACGGCTCCGTTCCGACTCCGTCTCCGCAGCAGCAGCCGAGCGTGGCCGCTCGCCCCGCCCCCACAGCCTCCTTCCCGGCACGCGGAACCCTCCGCGGGTTTCCAGGGAAACCGAAACTGGGCCGTCATGGCAACTGTCTTATCTGGCGGGCGCCCGCCATGTACTGCAGAGCGGAGCCAGTGTTCAAGGGGCGGGGACACACGACCAGGAGGGCCCCTTGGAAAAGCTTTTTTTTTAAAACCCTGACGGAAAGAGAGGGTAATTTTTAGACGTTCGGTGACCCTGGAGCTGTTTGTCACCCAATCAGACCGCCGCATTTCTCCAACCCCGAAGTTTAACCCCCGAACTCTCGTCGTGGCACCTCAATGCGCTCACTGGAAGGATCTGAATCCTTCTGGGGTAGAAGTAGGGGGCTTCACCGGCGCGCCGCCGAGTGGAAAGAGCCACGCCCAGGGGACCGCACCTCGCCCTCGGCCCCCCCCGCCCCCCCCCGCCAAGGGCGACAGACTCTCGGGCCGAATCCGGGTTCCGCCCAGGCACTGCGGGCGGGGTGGAGGCGCCGGGGCCGCTCTAGGTCCTCCTCACCCGCGGGTGCGCTATCAGCAGCAGGCGGTAGAGCGGGCCGGGTTGACAACGAGCTGCGGGGGACAGGCAGATGGCGAG